GTGTGTGTGTGTGTGTGTTATGTGTAATAATAATTTAAAAAACTGATATGTGCTCCCGTAAGCGTGTATTATTATCATGCGAAGTGTACCTGGAAAATTGCTCCTGATACATCGGTACACTTGTCGATCTGCCTCTGCGTGGCGTCCACCAGCTGTCTGCGGCGTGCCTGGCACAAGCAGTTCCGGTAGTCAAAGGTCAGCGAGCTCAGGGTCTGGTCAAGGAAAAAGGATCAATGCGTGCGTTCTTGGGAAAGTTTCTGTCGTCATTTATCAGGGTCTGGTCAAGGAAAAGTATCAATGCGTGCGTTCTTGGGAAAGTTTCTGTCGTCTTTTATTGGGGCGTTGTCATGGTGTGAGATTGTGATTTACATAAATAATATTTGCTTCATTGTGTGTGATTTGTGTAATGAATATTGGTGTCATTGTGTGTGATTGCATGTACTTTGTGTCGTTGAATTTAATTTTGATATGTGTAATTACATAATATGTGCCCTTTTAAATTTGTGTCATTATGATTTTCATGGTATAGAAAAACGACTCTCCCGTATCTCTTATATTAGTTTGGTATTCATACCAATCTCAGAAATACGATTGACATGACACTCTGAGCCTTAGTTACGTTTTTATGGCGTAGAAATACGACAGACGACCTGAATCTACGAGTTTTAGTTTTGGTCCTCATTTCGAAGAAAACCAACAGGTCTGGTAATTCTATCTAATCTTTTGTTTTAGGTTTTGTGGCGTTGGAATACGTCCGACCTGAATCTCGTGTCTTATTTCGGTCTCCATGTCTCAAAAAAATACGACCTAGATCTAAATAAATCTCTAATTTAATCATAGTTTGGTCTTTGTGGCCTTGAAGTATGACAGAGCTCAATACGTAGTCTTTAGTTATTGTTGTTGTTATTGTTGTTGATGTCGTCGTCGTCGTTGTCGTTGTTGTTATTGTTGTTGTTGTTGTTGTTGTTGTTGTTGTTGTTATTAATGTTGTTGTTGTTGTTGTTTTGTTGTTTGTATAAAAATATCACCGATTTGAATGCATAGGCTTTAGGCTTTTGGGGGGGTTTTTGGTCTACAAATACGACTGACCTGAATTTCCTTTCTCAGTTTGGTTTTCATGTCCTCAAAGTCTTTGCGTAGCTTTGTCAGGGCC